GCTTCTGGTGCCCACGCGGCTCACCTTCCCTAGGGAGCTTCCTTCCGGGTGCTGGGACCAGCTGAGCTTTTCTGCCCTAGGAGACTGGGATGGAGGCGGGGACCTTCCTTCCAGGTTCTGGGACCAGCTGAGCTTCTCTGCCCTCTGGGCCGGGAGCGGTGGGACTCAATACTGTGGTCTGGTGGTCCGGTGTCCTCTATGTCTTTGTAATGTGTAACCAGGTGGCTGTACAGAGGAGCCGAGTGGGGTGTGTCCAGTGGATTGTTGCTGGGGCGCAGGCTGAGTCCACGTTCTGCAAGACTCGCGACCTCGGTAGGGCGTGCACAGACCTGTCTGCAGCGGGCTGATTCGGCGTGTTCCGCGTGACTCTTTTTTTTTTTTTAATCCACAAAGGGGGCAGGAGATCAGACATCTTCTTGTGTAATTATTTAACTTGCTTAGAAATAAACTTGTCTGCCTGCCTGCTTTTAAGAAATGCCTGACTGGTGTCCAAAAACGTGGAGGTCAGGGTGCCCAGAACCATGGTTGATGTAACTTTGAACATTTTCTCCTAACCCACAGTACAGCAGCTCCTGTATTTAGCCTGTCAGAGGCTGTGGAGGCCCAGCCCTGCCAGTCAGAATTGCTCTTCTTCAGCTACAGTTAGAAGACTGATTCCAGCAAAGGTCCAATCCCAGCAACAGTAAATCTGCCATAATTCCTATGTTCAGAATAGATACAAATCCCAGTGGAATTCACTGGTTTTGTCTAGTTTCAAAGAGATTGATTCCTTAACTCACCTCATTTCCCATAAGAATATTTGATAATCATCAATTCTAAAGTCAATCCTAGATAGAGATTCTGAGCATCAAATCAAAATCAATGAGAAAAGGAAACTTGGTTCTTGTGGCTAAAGTGACCAGGAACTGTGTTCACTTGAATATTTCACTTCGCTAAACAAGTTATGCAATTTCACCCTATCAATGTGGACTAACAACCAGGAGCATAGCGCCATTTCTATTACTTATTCTCCTTCATAAGCCATTGAGATTTCTCATAAGAAATGGGTTCTTTAGTAAGACACCTGTAGGTTTTACGTTTGTGTCCAAATAGGTTAATTTAGATAGCCCAACTGAGCAACTGAGTAGAGTGGGAGTTGATGGTGCACATTCTGCTGACTTTGTGACCAGGTTTGTTTCTTGGTTTGGTTTGGCTTCTGCTATGGGCCCTAAAAGATTGAAAGTCTCTCAAGTCATTTCTTTATGATGACATAGGGTTAAAAAAAAAAAAAAGCAAAGCCAGATAAATACAAGAGAATAAAATCAAGTTGTCAAAAGTTCCACACACAGCT